ACACACCCGAGATCACCGAAGGGCCCCCTTTCCCACTGTCCCCCAGGACCCCATTTTCTTCACACTCACCGGAGCCAAAGCCGCGGCCCTTCCGCTTCTTCGCCTTTTCTTTCAGTTTGTGGATGCTCTCTGTAACCCCACAAGTGAAAGAATAAGTGCCAAAGGTAACATGTAGAACAACAGCCTCTTTCCCCAGACATTCTGAGCGCGGACCCACCACCTCCAGTCCCTTCTAGCCCCGCCCCACGCCGCCACCGGGGGCGGGGTCTGCAGGCCCTGCAGCCCGTGGTCCCGCTCCCGCCTCCCCGCCGGGAGGAAGGGGGATGGTTGCCCTATTACGTCCTTCTCTCGCACCTTCCCCGCTTCCCGCAGCCGCCTCCACTGTCCTCACCGTCCCCATCCTCATCCATGGCGAAATCCTCGCCGCCCGCCTCGTGAAGATCCAGCACGTCCGCCATCTTGCCTCCCTGTAACCCGCGTCCGTGCCGCTCAGGATCTAAGCGCTCAGGCTTTAAGCGCCCCCGGGAAGCTGTCGCGGAGGGGAAAGGTCACCAGTCCAGCTGACCAATCAAAAGCTTTCTCTAAGTCCCGCCTTAGACGCAGTGTAAATACGCACGTGGGGGCGGGCCTAGTCCGGGAAGAGCCGGAAGTTCCCTTGTCGCCATCTTGAGCAGGTCGGAAGCCGGAAGTGCTCCTGTAGTCATCTCCAGCAGGTCGCGAGCTGAAAGCCGCCGCTGGGCGGGGACGCGCCGGCCGCGAATCAACGGCTTCCTCTTATCCGCGGCCACCAGGGAGAAATGCTGCTGGCAGGGGAGCCCAGCACGATTCCTTTAGTGGAGGGTTGCCTTCTCTCACTCACACTAGAAAATGGAAGTTGAAGAAAGTTTTTTTCTTTCAAAACTTCTCTCTTCAAGAAACTAACAGACCTAGTTGTGAGCTCTTTTGGTGAGACAGATACCAACCTTTTTTCTTTTTAAGGCTAATCCCCAACGTTCCCCACCACCTTGGGGGAATTAATAAAAGATCACGGCTTTAAACAAAATAGGGGCTTTAGCTTCTTGGAGGATGTGGCGGGTTTTTCGCTTTTAACAACCTAGGAGTTGAGCCCAGCTGGTGCGGCTCGGTGGTTGAGCGTCAACCCATGAACCTTGAGGTCATGGTTGGATTCAGGGTCCGACACCTGCCTAGTTGTGGCTCCATCCCCAGTAGGAGGCAGCCGATCAATGATTCTCTCTCATCATAAATGTTTCTATCTCTCTCTCCCTCTCCCCACCTCTCTCTCTCAAATCAATTTAAAAACAACAACAACAACAAAAAGCTAGGAGTTGAGATCTGGACGAGTAGCTCAGTTGATTAACCCCATATGCCAAGGTTGCGGGTTCATCCGGGCCTGGGCACATACAAGAATTAACCAATGAATGCAGAAATAAGTGGAACAACAAGTCGGTTGTTTCTCTGTCTCAAATCAGTATCTTTTAAAAAATGCCTTTAACTAAAACAAACAAAAAAACCTCGGAGTGAGACAAAACCCATATTGTCCCCAAATCCTGGAATCTCGATGTAGGCCTTAAACAATAGTGGACTGAAGATTCACTTACTTATTTTTTTCTTATTAATTTTTTAGTCAAACAATTTTGAATGCTTATCTGTGTCTAAATACTAGAGGTGATGCTGGCAATACAAGGAAAAATATATCATCAACAATCACTTTATAATTCCATATAGAAGTGGTAATTGCCATCACAAAGTGGAACAGGGGTAGTAGGCGAGTCCATGTAAGGGAGGACTTCTGTTTGAACTCGGTCTGTAAGGCTGGGTAGTTTTCCAGGCAAAGCAGGAGACACTAACTAAAACTAGGAGACACTGATCCATTCTCCACAGTAGGTAGTTTGGTCTTTTTAAAAAATCAGTTTGATGTAGTCTCATTTGTTTATTTTTGCCTTTGTTTCCCTTGCCCGAGGAGATATATCAGAAAAAAATATTACTGCGGGCATTGTCTGAGATTTTACTGCCTATATTTTCTTCTAGGGTTTTTATGTTTTCTAGTCTAACATTTAAGTCTTTAATCCAGTTTGAGTTTATTCTTCTGTGTGGTGTAGGAAGGTGGTGTAGTTTCACTTTTTTGCACGTATCTGTCCAATTTTCCCAACACCATTTATTCAGACTCTCTTTAGCTCACTGTATGTTTTTGCAATCCTTTGTCAAATATTAATTGACTATAAAGGCGTGGATTTATTTCTGGACTCCATTCTGTTCGGTTGATCTACATGTCTGTATTTATGCCAGTACCATGCTGTTTGATTACTATGGCCTTGTAGTATAGTTTGATATCAGGTAGTGTAATTCCGTCAACATTTTTCTTCTCAAGATTGCTGTGGCTACTCATGGTCTTTTATAGTTCCATATAAATTTTTTTGAGTATTTGTTCTAGTTCTGTGAAATATGCCATTGGTATCTTGATAGGAATTGCATTGAATCTATAGATTGCTTTGGGCAGTATGGACATTTTATTAATGTTAATTCTTCCTATCCATGAACATGCTATGTTTCCACGTATTTGTATCTTCTTCAGTAGTTCCTTCAGTGTGTTATAATTTTACAAGTACAGGTAGGTCTTTTACGTCCTTGGTTAAATTTATTCCTAGGTACTTTTTTCTTTTTGAAGCAATTGTAAATGGGCTTGTTTTTCTACCTTGTGTTCCAAATTGCTCATTTGATCCTCTGTTTCATCTGACCTTCTATTTTTTTCCTTCCAGTATGTTCTTTATTTCAGATATTGCATTCTTCATTTCTCACAGGTCATTTTTAATGGTTTCTATGTCCTTTTTCATGCTGTTGAGCATCCTTATGATCATTACTTTGAACTCTAAATCTGACAAATTGGTTGCCTCCATTTCATTTAGTTCTTCCTCTGGAGAATTCTCTTATTCTTTCACTTGGGGCCTGTTTTTTTTTTTGTTTGTTTTTTTTTTTGTTTGTTTTTGTCTTCCCCATTTTGGCTGTCTCTTTGTGTTTCTATGTATGAGATAGATCTGCTATGACTTCCAGTCTTGGTAGGGTGGACTTACACATTAGGTGTCCTGCGGGACCAGTGGCGCAGCTCCCTGATCCTCTGAGCTGGGTGCTCTAGGAGTGTCCCTTGTGGGCATTAAGTGGGTCCTCCTATTGTAATTGAGTCTTTGTTGCTATTGGCTTCTTCGTGCATGGGATCAACCGCAAGCTGGCTGACTATGAGGCTCAACCCCCAACACAGTACGCAAGCTGCTAGGCAGGTCCTGATCACAGAAGCAGAACTTGCCTCAGAACCAGGGTGCCACTGAGTTCTCCCTGTGGATATACTGCTTGAGAAGCTTAGTGGATCTTGCTCTGTTGTTTTCTGAATCTGGCCACTGGGTACATTGGTTCTGGGCCTCTTCAGAGGGACTCTGGTGCAGGTCAGTGTCAGGCACTGCCTGTGACTGGCCCGGGGCAACTCGTTTGGAGCCATCAGTGATCTGAAACTTTCAGCTCCCTTTGCTGGACCTGGGTGCCTATGGAGAGGACCAGGCTGTGCGCCCAGGCCGGCTTTTACCAGCACTTTACCTGGGACAGGCCAGCAAAAGTCTCAAAGCATCCAGAGGTCCACCTCCGCCTGCAGTCCCCCCGTTAGGGTTAGGCACTGAAAGAGCGTGGCTGTACTTCTCAGCAGGCATGAGCCCCACAGGGTGGGGCGAGAGCGATTCCAGCAAGTGCGGCTATTCTCCCCAGGCTGGTGCTGCTTGAGGAAAGGCTCTGCCTGAGGAAGATGGCTTCTGTAGTCTGGGAGAGTGACTCAGCGCAGGGTTCCTGGCGGCTGATCCTTCAACTCTCCCCAGAACCACCAACCTCACTTTCCCTCCCTCCACTGGAACCCAGGGGTAGTGGCTGCCAAGGAAATTTTGTGGTTTGGCCCTTTAAGAGGGCACCTGCATCTCTAGTCTTCTCTTCCTGGTGGAGAGTGACTCTGCTGCTTTTCACAGCTGGATGTTATCTGGGTGCCTTTCCTGGTTCTGGTGCTCTAGGCTGGGGAGCCCTGCTTGGGGTTCAGACCCCAGACTTCTCAGGGGAACCCCCGGCAGCTGAGATATCCCTCTGGAACTTCAGCTGCCACAGGTGGGAGCTCGGAGAGCCCTCTTGTGCCTCTGCACTTTTTGCCAGTCTCAGTGTAGCTCCTTCTGTAAGCCGTTGGTTATAAGGCTTCTCTCCAGCTGGTCAGTCTTCAGTTGGTTATTCAGGATGATTTTTCTATAATTTAGTTGTAATTCCAGTTTGGTCCGGGGAAGAGGTCAGTGTAACTTCCACCTCTAATATTTTTAAGACACAATGCCAGTTGGTAGGGAAGATACAAGAGATCTGTTTGACTTCATCTCTCTCCATGGGATTCTTCAGTGGCTTCCAGATGCCTCATAGGCCAAAGCAAACAAAGACAGAACTGCTTCTCACATGTCCCAGGAAGAGAAGCACAGTCATTAAGGATTCTAGAAAGAAACACGACAGCAGCGTGGAGGATGTCAGGAGTGAAGGCAGAGCCTGGCTGGGTAGCTCGGTTGGTTAGAGTGTTGTCTTGATCTGGAGCCTCAGAGAGGAGCATGTATGGAAAATGAGTTTATTTTGAATATATGAGTTCAAAGAACTTGTGTCATATTCAGGTGTTGATGTCCAACATATGGAAATATAGATATAAGAGCTCAAAACAGGTTGGGGTAGAAGAAACAGATTTGAGAATTGTGTGTATGATAGAGTTTAAACCACCATAGTGGGTGAGATTGCAAGTGGAACTGGGTAGAACTTAAGGAGAAAGAACTAAGAACAAAATGCAGGCTTCTCAAATGTCCGGAGAAGGGGAGGCAGGATGCTTCCCCCCAGCAGTACAATCTTATCTCTACCACCCCAAAAATACTAATAAAAATTATGTTTTCATATATGTAAAAGAAAGGGTCATTTTATAACTCCTCTGATACAAAAGTCTTGAAGAGTCAATATGGCACACTAGACAAAAAACTATTTTAATTGTATAAAATTATACATATAAAATACATAGAAAGTACTAAAAAGGTAAGTAAAATCTTTAACACCAAAAGTGTACAGATCAGGGAACAATTTTTCTCAAGTTCTTCGGGATCTTACTGGTTGGTATTAGAGAAAAATAGTAAATCCAGGAGGTGCAAAGGTAAGTTCTTCCCACAACTCACACCCCTTAACACTTCCCAGAGAAAGGAGCGTAGAAATGAAGGTTTATGATTTCTGGATTATAAATATCAGTAAAAACTGAATAGACACACCTGTTGCTGAACACAGGAGCGTCTGCACCAACCCTACATGTATTTCATGGAATACAGAGAAGGGGCTTGGAGAATTCAAGGAAGTCCCTTTCAAGCACTGGTACATGTGTTGCTCGATACCATACCTTTGATCCCATAAATGGTTTCAAAAGAGAGAAAGCTCGCTTTCATCTTGTCCCTATCTGATCCAAAAGAGAATATTTGTGGCCTGTTTCCTAACCTATTTCTGAAAGCAAAGTGTATAATCATTGAATGGAAAGTCAAATTGTAGAAACATTAAACTTCCCAAGCTCAGTTTAGAAAGTGCACTGAGCTGTAATATTGTATAAAGGAGACTACAGAAACAAGGGGGGAATATATCTTAGAGAGATCTACACAAAATTCTCCCAAAGGTGAGTGTTTTACCTGTACTCCAGATCATTCCTCTCCTATTCCACCCAGGAGAGTGGTGGGGAAGAGAACAGTATTAAAAACGCAAATAGCTGATCACTGATTCTCTTTCCCTTCCTGCAGTCTCCCAACATTCCATTTAGGAAGTGCCATAATGCTAAAGTGTCATCTAATTTACCTGATCAATTCATGCTCTAATAATCAATGTGGAGAAAGAGGAAAGAAAACAACAAATCTGAATCTAAGGTATGAACATCTAAGGTAGTAGACAGCAGCAACTTTGTGGCAGTGAGAGGAACTTGGCCCTCATCAAATAGGACAGATAATCTTTCCAAAGAGCAAAATGATGGCAGGAGAGTGAGGAGGGAAACATGTTTTGCCTTCTACCAATCTCTGCAGGCAGGAAGGTTAAATATGGGGCTTAACTAAGCTAAGGGGGCCGGGGAGCAGGAGTGAAAGGGAATATTGAAAGATAAGCAACTCCAACCCTGATTCCTTCTGTAAAGTAGACTACATCCAGAAATGGATGGCCCAGAAGCCATAGGTGACAAGCCCTTGTGAATTGTGTTTATAATTCCTCTCTCGTTCCTCGGCACTTTCTCAGGAATGACTTTAATCATGAGAAGCCAGATCTCCAGTTCCTACCTCGTACCAACTGGAGTCAGAGGGGGAGTAAGGTAGTGGTGAAGAGGCGTGGTGTAGGTTAGGGGATGTCATTACTGGAGGAACAACTTGGTACCGAGTAGGCCCAGCTCAAGATAAACTGAAGCTGAAGGCTTCATATTCATAACCTCTTTGAGTCTAAGAGAAAGCAGGCAAGGGGTGGGGGGACAGAGTCCTACTCAAGCTCCCTGTTATTGTAAAAGAAGGAGACATGAACAGTTAATCTTGTGCTACTGAAATGACTACACAGAATTTCTGGGAGTGTCAAAGCCAGCAAAGCTCCAAAGGCAGCCTGCTCTTCTTGTAAAGTGGAGTGGAGATGTTTCAAATGAAAGTCCATCAAAAAACTAGAAGAAAAGAGGTCTCTTAGCAAAAAGGGATCCAGGTGCAGAATTTATACATACATATGTATGTATATATATGCATATGTATATTTTTAAAGTATAAAATTGGGCAAGTATGTACAGAAATCATAGGAGATCTTAGAAAGGACATATTAAAAAGGGCCCGGAGAGGGTGGGCGCTACGTGGGTGGGGGCCTAGCAGTTGGAAGAGTGCATGTTGCCCAGCTGCCCAGCAGCCAGCATGAGGATATCTTTCTTCTCCTTGTGGAAGCGCAGCTCCTTGCCTGCCAGCCGGGCTTCGTCCAGCTCCCGCTCAGTGGAGGCCAGCTCTCTAGACAGCGCCCCTGGCACACTCTGCTCCCGGCTCACCCAGTCCAGTGCCATTTGGTGACGAATGTCATCATCCAGGGCCCGGTGTGAATAGTGAGCCAACACTTCCTAGAGAGGGGAAGGAAATGTGAAGGTCACTGGCAAGGTAAAGGCTCATACCACACTGACCCAACTGGGACTAGGAACTCAGCCTTGGAGTCCTAAGTGAGGTCAGCACTTCAGCCCTCTAAGAAGATTGTTCAGAGACATGTCCTTGTGGGGGAAGCAAAAGAATCACAGCTAAGATTTAAACAGGAAAGATAATAGCAGCCAAGAGGGCACTTTAAGTGAGGCTTTCAATACTCACAGCCTGGTGTCCAGAGGCCTGATCATTTCTAACACAACAGCCATCTCAAAACAGTCCCTCTGCCAAGCTCCCCTCCCCCATAGGATCCTTACCTGCCGAGAGCACTGCCGTTCCCTCATGGCCTTAAGGCTGCCGTTCCAGTGCAGCAGCTGAAAAACTGTCATTAGCTCCTGGGGAAGAAAACATGAAGTGATTTAATACTGGGAGGTGGCATCAGAATCACATGGGTAACCCTTCACAACAAGTATTTGCGGAAGCATCTCTTAGACCAGCGGTTCTCAACCTGTGGGTCGAGACCCCTTTTGGGGTCGAACGACCCTTTCACAGGGGTCGCCTAAGACCATCGGAAAACACATATATAATTACATATTGTTTTTGTGATTAATCACTATGCTTTAATTATGTTCAATTTGTAACAATGAAAATACATTCTGCATATCAGATATTTACACTACAATTCATAACAGTAGCAAAATTGCAGTTATGAAGTAGCAACAAAAGTAATTTGATGGTTGGGGGTCACCACAACATGAGGAACTGTATTAAAGGGTCGCGGCATAGGAAGGTTGAGAACCACTGTCTTAGACCAACTCTCATATGCCTTCGGGGGAAGAAAGGATTTATACTTTGAAAAATATTTTAGCCCTGGCCACTGTGGCTCAGTTGGTTGGGCAATGTCATATGCACCAAAAGGTTGCTGGTTCAAGTCCAGGTCAGGGCACATTACCCAAGCTGCAGGTTTGATCCCTGGTCAGGGTGTCTATGAGAGGCAGTCAATGTTTCTCTCTCACATAGATTTTTTTTCTCTCTCTCCCTCTCTCTTTCTCTCTCTCTCTAAAAATCAATAAAGCCCTAGCTTGTTTGGCTCAGTGGATAGAGTGTCAGCCCTTGAACTGAAAGGTCCCAGGTTGGATTTCGGTCAAGGGCACGTACCTCAGTTGCCGGTTTGATTCTAGGTCATGGTTGGGTCAAGTGTGGGAGGCAACCAGTCAATGTATCTCTCTCACATCTGTCTGTCTCTCCCTTTCTCTTTCATTTTCTCTAAATAAAAGATAAAAAATAAAATAAAAGCAGTGTTTCAAAAAATATTTTTAGAGCACTTTATCATTTATTTGTAGGTTAGAACTCATATTGAAACTGTTGGTTGGAATGATCTAATTATATATTGACTTCTGATCAGTAAATGCTTTGAGTATTAAAGGAAAAGTACTATATACAGAGTTCTTCAACAAAGCACCTTAATTTTAATTGTCAGTTTATGATAGGATCTTCCAAAATATTGCATGAAGGAAAGAAAACGTTTATCATCTGCTATGTGTTCCTTTTTAAAATTTATTATTATTACTAGAGGCCCAATTCACGAAATTTGTACAAGGGGTTGCCCCTCGCAGCCCCTCGCAGCCCCAGCTTCATCCAGAAGGTCATCTGGAAGGTCATCAGGAAGGTGATCTGGACAGTTGTTCTGCTGTTTGGTCTAATTAGCATAATTAGCTCTTTATTATATGTGATTGAGTATTACAGATGTCCCCATTTTTCCCCCCATTGCCCTCCTCCACCCAGTTCCAGCCCTGCCCCAGGCCTTCACCACCCTATTGTTTGTGTCCATAGGTAATGCATATATGCAAATAAATTCTTTAGTTAATCTCTTTCCTCCACCCCACTCCCTTCCCTTTGAGATTTGTCAGTCTGTTCCATGTTTCCATGCCTCTCCCTTCCTTCCCAGTTGAGTTTCAATGTGTTAGGGATTAGTAGGAGACGTCCGCGCGTGCACACACACGCACACACACGCACACGCACGCACACGCACGCACACACACGCACACACACATACAATTAGAGCCAGGGAAGTAGATTGAAGAGTACCTGGAATTCCAACATTGACTTGCCCTTGTTGGATTCCAACATGAATCGGAAGGCACCAATCCCAGTATTTGGGTTGTCAGCTTCCTCCCTGTTGCCCTGTAACAGAGGAATAGATGAAGATTTTCAATTAGAATTATCCCCTCACGCAGTACTGTCCGATAGAAACATAATTAGTATAAAATATATCAATTTTAATAGCATATTTTATTTAACCTAATATATGCAAAATATTATTTCAACTGCAATTAGTAAAAAATTATTAATGAAATATTTTTATTTTTCTTGTATTAAGTTTTCAGAATCTGGTGTCTCATGCTTACAGCACATCTCAAGTCATAGGAGCCACATTTTAAGTGTTCATTAACTATATGGGGTTAGTGGCTATTCTGCTGGTCATCACCCTAGAGGACTCCAAAGTTATCACACATTTTAACTCAGGTGACAGGAAAGGTCAATCTGATCTTCCTTATTTTGCAAGGGAGAACACTGAGACACAGAGAAGAACCCTGATTTAGCCAAAATAACAGTGAGTTCAGCATGTGGGACTGGACTAGACTAGAGAGCAATTAGGAAAATGCATTTTATTTTTAAATATACTTTTTAAAAATTGATTTCAGAGAGGAAGGGGAATAGAGAGAGATAGAAATATCAATGATGAGAGAGAATCATTGATCAGCTGCCTCTTGCACACCCCCTAAGGGTGGCAGAGCCCACAAGTGGGGGACGTGCCCTTACCGGGAATTGAACTGTGACCTCCTGGTTCATAGGTCGATGCTTAACCACTGTGCCATGCTGGCCAGGCTGGGTAAATGCATTTTAAAGGGAGACAGTAGGAGCCATAAGCATGGCAAATTCTGGGTAGGGTAGCAGTTTGGCCTCCTGAACATTTACCTAATATGTCTTCTACTGGTGACATGAGGCTGCAGGGCTAGAACTAAGATACATTATCCTATCTGTAAGCATAGTGTGTGCAAAAAAACAATACAATATAGAAGTTAAGAGCATGGACTGAAGCTCCTCATAGTCTTGTGGCCTTGGTGAAGTCATTTAACCTTCTGTTTCTCAGTTTCCTCATCTGTAAAATGGAAATAATCATAGCTCTACCTTATAGGATAGTTTTGAGAATTAATAAATCTGGTTTAAAACTCCAATCATATACAATGTGGGTGCATAATTGTACTGGACCTGGTGGTCTGTTACACAATCTAAATCCACACTGGTATTTGCTCTGGTTTGGTGCTATTTGGTGATAATTTAATATTATTTAGTGAGCCCTGACTGGGCAGCTCAGTTGGTTAGAGTGTCATCCCAATACGCCAAGGTTGCAGGTTCAACCCCTAGTCAGGGCACATATAAGAATCAACCAATGAATGCATAAATAAGTAGAACAATGAATTGATTTTTCTCTCTCCCCTCCTCTTTCCTCCTTCCTCTCGCTAAAAAAAAAAAAAAAAAATAAAAAAAAAAAAAAAAAAAAAATCAATAAAAAATATTATTGAGGATAATTCCAGGTCGTGGGACTGGCTGGAACTTCCAAAATAAGGGTATTGGTGGTGACTGATAAGAGTATTGGTTTGTTGGTGATCTTTTTGTCAATCTGATCTAGGAAAATAAGGAGACTACTGGGAACACAGGGACCCAACTTTCTCCTCCTGCTTCCTGAGAAGTCGCTTGCTCTTTCTAGCCAGTTCCACACCATACACCCCACCTCTCAACATAAGAGCTTTTATTCTGCTCTCTTTGAGGAAGGGAACAGGGTAGAGGTCAGGAGCCAATCAAGTTATACCCAAATTCAGTTTATTGTGGGGCACTTTATTATGGGGTTTTACTGTATTTATATCACACCTAAAATAATGCACTTAGTAAGAACACCATAAGGGCTAGCAAACTATGATTATTTATTTTCATTGTGTTACAATCAATAAGTCAGAACTACTCAAGATCATCCCATAGTGCTTTGTGGCTCATGAGAAACAATCATGCCACATGTAGCTAATCTTTGTGGTAAAGCAAAGATCACAAAGTTTGGATTTAGAAGTGAAAAGCTAGAAGGAGGAAGGAAACAGGTAATCTTCACTGTTAGGATTTAGGGCTCTGAAGCAAGCAATCATTTTCATTTTTGCCTCTAACTGTTCAATATGATACCTTACTCAGTACCTTCAACATTCTCCATGATATGGCACCTAGACAATAATGATATCTGTACTTCCCAGTTGGGAAGTTCTAACTCATGTGACACTTATACACTTCCCATGGCTATAAATGAACTCCACTTATTCAATAAACATTAAATCACAGAATACTTGGTAAGGGGTAGGAAAGGTCTCTTTCTGTCTCTGAATGTAATTGTGTCTGAAGGTCCGGAATTTCGTGGCCATCTTGAACCCTGAGGGGAGACTGCCCAAGGACAAAGCCAACATCTAGAGCAGCGGTTCTCAACCTGTGGGTCGCGACCCCTTTGGTGGTCGAACGACCCTTTCACAGGGGTCGCTTAAGACCATCCGACATAAATAATTACATATTGTTTTTGTGATTAATCACTATGCTTTAATTATGTTCAATTTGTAACAATGAAATTGGGGGTCACCACAACATGAGGAACTGTATTAAAGGGTCGCGACATTAGGAAGGTTGAGAACCACTGATCTAGAGGATGGCTGAGTGGAGATGGAAAGAATTTGGGCCAGATGATGACATTCTTTTTTTAAAAAAAATATATTTTATTGATTTTTTACAGAGAGGAAGGGAGAGAGACAGAGAGTTAGAAACATCGATGAGAGAGAAACATCGA